TGTACATTATTTACATTATTCGGACTATTGTCCTCATCTTTGTCGCCATATTTATCACAACTTTTCGGCCGCTGTACGCTCCGACCTTCTTCAGGTGGTTGGAATTTCGAACTGAACCCTTTATTTCGCTCGGTGGGGTTCTAGTTCCACGTTCCAGAACAGTCTACCCCAGTGAGCGAAATAAAGGGTTCAGTTCGACATTCCAACCACCTGAAGAAGGCCGGAGCGTACAACAGCCGAAACGTTGTGATAAATATGGCGACAAAGATGAGGACAATAGTCCGAATAATGTAAATAATGTTAAATAAAAGAGTTTTCTTTTACAAAACACCACACTACATGCAGTAGTTACTCACCTTAATGAGTCAGGTTATAAATTTTAAAAAATGCCGCTTTAATTAAAAACGAAAGCAATTTAATAAGACGAAAGTATATAGAAAGTTCTTTAATTGCTAGATCATCAACAGAACTTTTGTGTTTAGATTTTTATAAAATTTCACCTTTCTTGGAAGATCGTCTATTAAACAATATGGGATACATAATAAAAAAGTGTTAAAAACATAAAGAAAAAGAAGCTAAATTAAATTGGCTAAACTGTATACCCAGATACATCTATATAAAAAAAATTAAAAGATTAAAATTTCAGCCTTCCAAGATTTTCAGCATTTCCTGTCTTTTCATAATTATAAACAACGTTTGCTTTTGTTTATATCAGCCTTCCATTTCGTGCGCAATTGTAGTTGCATCAACGGAAACAACACTTTAATCCAATAATGTCCTAAAAGACAAAATACGTCACACAACATTCTTTTTTCATTTTGTCACTAATTTGTCTAACATTTTTCTATTATATAAACATTTATTTCTTATAAAATTGTGTTCACCAATAGTACACCATGGTAAGACTTTTAATTCTCTCAGAATCTCCTCATTGTAAAGGTTTAATAAGTGCTGTGACAAAACGCATCCTTGTCTTACAACACTATTTTTATATATTTATTGAATTCATTTTCTATACATATACAGTCGGTTTGCTCCTGGTATAAGTAATAGATTATTCTAAAATATATCAAGCTTACTTTGCAGTTCAAATAGCTACCTGTGATGTACTTTATCAAACGATTTTGCATTATCTAATACATACATATAAATATCCTTTTGCATTTGTATATCTCTTGAATTAGTCTTAGTAAACCTTGGATCTTTACCCCATGCTCATCTAGTTTGATATTGTAACGTCTTCAGACGAGCTTCTTTTCTTTCGTGTCAACTGCTCATACTTTTGCGACCAATATTCGCTTTGCTACGTCGACAGGGTTTAATGACCTTCATTCCTTCCGCATTTCTTTGCTAAGAAAAATGCTCCATCCAGAAAGCTTTTAACCAAATAATGTCTTCTTTATGGGAGGGACTCCTGCGTGTATGCTTCCCTGACAAAGTAAAATCTTAACCTATTTATATCTTTGGACAATCGTTATCGATCCTCTATTTCAGCCTATTCCCTACTTCCTTCTCTTACATCCATATTACGCATCTCATTCAGTAAGCCTCCACCTTAACTAGCTCTTCAGCTTAGTATTGTCTAAATATCATTAAAAAAATAAAGCTAAACTATGTCCAGCAAACCATATATTTCTATTTTCCCTGCTATTTTCATTAGTGGAGGCATGGTTGAATAAGCAACTCGGATTAAGGAACCATTCCATTTGAGTTCGTTAAAGTCAGTTACGTCCTAATACACTTGGAAAAGTATGAATCCATCTCTTTTCCCCTAAGCTATTGGTAAAATAGAAGGACAAACTTGGTCCTATAGCCTTGGTTGGCAAACAGTCTAGGAGAAGGAAATTTAAATTCAAACCAGGCCTGAGAGGTTTGGACTCTATCAGACTAACTTCCTTAGGAATTGTCCGGATGACACTATTCTAAAGTTTGTATATATGCGGTTGGGATCCGCTTATAAATCCAAAGTTACCACTGAAACTTCTACTGTGAATTTACACATCAAAATGGATGCGGGCGATTAGTTTGACGGAGCTGACACAACCGATCCAGCAACAGGTGCAGATAGCAATACCTATCAGTTGAGACGGCTGTTATTCTTACTTTAATTTCATTACATGTCTTGCTATTTTGTTCATATCTATTAAATTCTGATAATCATAATTTTCTACCTGTTTTCTGGATGCTTGTTTTCGAATAAGAACAGAGTCGATGATAACTCTGGCACCAATACCTATTTCCTGAACTTTTGGAACTGAAGACAACCAATTAATTAAAGCTTGGTGTCCGGGTATCCACCTTCCATACATTATCTCTCCTTATACGTGATATATCTCCAAATAGACGAGAAATATCATGCTGTTTTCTCTGGTAACAACCGAAATAAGAAAATGTCTTGATCTTTCATAATAAACTGTGTTATTTGTTGTAATAGGTGGGTATAAGTATTAACACACTCAATCAAAATGTTTTCTACTTTGTTCTTATGGGGTGATAAATCATAATAATGTAATAAATATCTGATCATTTTTTTCGTCGCCCGCCTTTAAATTACATATGGAACGAGATCTAAGCATATTTTTAAGCGACCTTTGTCTTTAGATTTTCGAAGCAAATCTTTCTTGCTATAAGATATTCTTTATCATAATGGTCGTAAATTTTAAAAACATGTTTTCGACTCAAATAATGGAATTCAGATTAAACGAAAGCAAATGTATTATTGAAAGTACACTACTTCTTTAATATTCTACAGGAAAATTACTGAAAGTTTGAAAAACTTGAAACCATGATATCTAGTAAAAGAATAAGTTTCAGATAAAAAGATAAAACATTAAACCAAACTATACTGAATATACACTAATTTCGATATCTATTGATGTAAAATAATTTTACGGTCGTTAAATGAACACCGGGACATCAATAAAAATAAGATTGAAAATAAACTAGTCTGCAATTATCATTATTACCATTAAAAAAATTATTTCTGGCCTGCATTTGTTTTATCAATCAATTAAACAAAAGACAGCTATTAACAAAACAAAAGAAAACTTAAATCGGCTGTGCTTGTTAAAATTAGGGATTTGTTTATCGGTTGTTGAATTCTTTTCTTTATCAGACCCAAAAAGCCAACCACAATCAAAATAGCTTTAGTTTTAATTGCCAAATACTTTTCTATTTCCGTCTCCATATATGTTTATTTGCAGAGTTATTTGATAATTTTCTTCTTCTTCTTCTTCTTCTTCTTCTTCTTCTTCTTCTTCTTATTATTATTATTATTATTATTATTATTATTAATGAGAAGAAGAAGAATTCGGTCAGCTTAAGATTATTAAATCAAACAGGTTTATGAGAAATTATTGAGGAAAATGATTTCTATTTTTCAGTTCACAATTAAACAAATCTTGTAAATTAAAATAAAGACACTGTTGAAAGCCATCAACGTAAAATAAACATTAAATTGCTAAGTGGTATCTCTGAGTCCTGACTTGTGAGAAATCCGTAGCTCTATCCAATCTGCTGAACTGGTATCTATCGTTAGTGACAAGCATTCAGATATGAACTCTGATAATGGGAGTAATTGTGCGTGGGTGGAAGTAGTTTTAGGTCAGGTTAAAAAGTCGGTGGGAATGTCAAAGTGAATAGAGAGATAGATAGAGAGGGAGAGAGAGATAGAGAGAGAGATAGAGAGAGAGATAGAGAAAGATAGAGAGAAAGAGAGATACCAAGAGATCACAAGTGTTTTTATTCGAACTTTTATATACATCTGTATTGTGTAACTTCGTACCTCAGATTATAATATGGGACTTAGAGTGATAGGCATAGAAATAGGTATTTATAGCATGCGTAAATAGCGTATATATATATATATATATATATATATATATATATATATATATATATATATATATATGTTTAAATAAAACAGACCACTTTAAGGTTTCATGTAATAAATTATTTCACCACAGCCCTTTTAAAAGGACTGCGGATCATCAGACTTTACTTCAAACAAACAAAAAAATATATATATATAAGTGTGTGTGTGTTTGTATGTATGTATGTAGGCGTAAATAAATTATTTCAATTAAATAATGACTAAATAAATAAATAAGAAGAGAAGCCTAGCCTGATCAGCTGGTTTTCTGTAGCTCAGTTGGTTAGAGACTGCCGGCCCTAACAACATGGACGAATCCTGCCAGAACGCGTAACGTTTTCCTTAATAAGATTTCATTCAGGTCGGTATATGAAAATAAATAAATATACTGTTTAATAATTAAACGAGCCGTCTATTTTAATACGATTATCTACTATGATTAATGTCTAAAGTGATAAACAATTTGTTGGATAAATACAAAATCCGATACTTTTCTTAACAATTTGCCTTGTTTACGTTTGAATACGAAACTATAAATAAATGAAAAATTTCGGGTGATCATTGACGAGAGGAGTTTCGCTTAAAGGCACAATTTGGCCTTGCTTGATCAACTAGTTCTCCTCAGTTTAGGTAGATATAGTGTGTATAAGACTTACAGTATTCATTCAAAGTCATTTTAATCATTGATCTGGGAATGTGATTGTATAGAGTTTACCTCGTAGACATTTCTGAACGGGTTGGACAACATACATTGCGCCAATACGAAGACCTCGGTGTAACGAGGTTTAGTAGTAGCAGTAGTAGTAATAGTAGTAGTAGTAGTAGTAGTAGTAGTAACATAAAATAATTCACTTAACTCTTATGAATCTGTACTCAAAGGGTCATTGTGTTTTATATTCAGTCATCGGTGCATTTCCTATTTAACAATGATCGTATTTTCCTCTTTTATATTAATTATATATATATATATATATATATATATATATATATATATATATATATTTCATTACCTTTCCACAAGGCTATTGGCGCGTAAGTGGATATAACGAAGCCGACTTGGATTGGAAATCGGGGAGCCTATTTCCAATCCCGTGCGTTAATCCATTACACTAGTCGAACATCCAAGCTTACACCTGGTATTTCCAAGTGGTCACCCATCTCGGTATTTACCTGGCTCGACGTTGGTTTACTTCAGTGAGCATACGAGAACCGGTATTTCAAGGTGGTATGGCCGTAAAACAAGTGCAGCTATAAAACCAGTTACTAGCATAAGTATGACTACAAATGAAATAATATTCAGTAGGTCCCTATTGCATATATAATTATAAAAAAGGCAGATATTCTAATGCGATTGATTTAATCGAGTAATTGAATTTTTCCTCCCGGGAAAATATATTCATTTTTCTTCAGTCAGTCAGTTATGCCCTATGTGTTATACACGCGTAGGCGATCATGTATCTTTTGATACATGACTGACTAGGCAGATTTTTTTCCCGTAGTAGGTTGCCATATCTTTCTGCGTAGACCAGTTGCCATCCAAGTGTATGGAACCCGGTCTATCCAGCTATTTACCCATAGCTGGGGGAGAAGAAGTGGATTCATACCTTTCCCAAGAGTATTAGCACGTAAGTGAATGTAATGGATTCGACAGGAATTCGAACTCGGCTCTCTGATCCCTCAATCTGAACCGCTAATTTACGCTTAATCGTTTCCTTGGATGATAAGAATTCCTGAGGTGCCAGTAAATCATATTAATACTCATATGTTGGGACTTCGGCTTGTCTTTATTCGTTTTGAGTTATTGATCGAAGGAGATTCATGTGAATCCGTTTTTATCGTCGTATAACAAAAGAAACTGCATTAATCAATAGATTTATCGATAGGGCAGGTGAGCAAATGAATCAGACAATATATTTCTATTAGCCATTGAATCTAAACGTAACAGAAAGTTCTCATATTTCTTTGCCATGCGAGCTTATGATTTAGAGAGGCGCTCAATTGATGATATGCACCGAGAAGATTTATTTGCTGCTAACGCAATAATAACCAATGGTCGGTTTCAATCTTTGTGATTCTGATATACCCTGAATTCGAAAGAATATATATATATATATATATATATATATATATATATATATATGTGTGTGTGTGTGTGTGTGTGTGTGTTCGCCTATGTGTGCGTTTATATATATATATATATATATATATATATATATATATATATATATATATATATATATATATATATATATATATATATATATATATATATATATATATATGTATATGTATGTATTTATGTTTATATATATATACCGGGTGTAACAGCAAAATTGTCCAATTGTTAGATTAAGCTTTGAACCGTTGTATCTTAGAAATGATTAGAGATGTCTTACTGGAATTCTCCGAGGGTTTTATAACACTATTGGACTCTACTTTGAACACTAAGAATATATTTAGCTCTAAGTTGAAATGAATGATCCCTCTTGCTGTAGCCACCTCCAGATCCAGTTTTCCTCTCTATTGCCCCTTTTTTTAAAACTTATTCACCGTTCTCTTGATGGTTCTTGAATGGACTTTAAGATGGAAGCCAGAGTATGAATGTTGGTGCCATTACTGAAGGCCTGAATAATATTTTTGCTCTCAACATTGCCCAGTCGCCTTCAGCTCTTAAGTGTTTGTATAGAAGTAAGGATTGGAATGTTTCAACTTGAAATAGACTATTTTCATGTTGAGGTAATTTTGTTTTCTGCCGTAAAAATATATATGCTCTGTTCTAATAAATACATTGAGCTCTCTGTGGATCAGTTTTAATATTTGTTTTTACTAGGACCCACTTGGATTATATACCAACGAATCTATTACCTGTACTATATATATATATATATATATATATATATATATATATATATAATTATTTATTTAGAAAATTTATAACATAAACATGTTATAAAATCACTACAAAAATAGACATTTTGTTTCAACACTCCCGGTGTCTTATCAAGTGATGATGTTGAATGCAAAACAAATGGTTTTAAAAGCTTCAAATTCGTTAACGATCTTTCACAAGGGGAAAACGTTGTTCCAAAAGCTAGAATGACCAATCAAAATACAAGTATAGGAAAATTCAAAAGGCCTGACAACGAAGTCATGTTATAATAGCTATTCAGATCGTTAAAATACGGGTAAAATTAAAAAAAAGTATTTATATATCTGCTCTACCTTGTATTGAGCACTCTTTTAAGAATAGCAATTGCTGGTTATTGGAATTCATTCCGTATACACCAATTATATACTTGGAGATATATATATATATATATATATATATATATATATATATATATATATACAACTGCTTTATAAATATTGACAAATTCTAAAGCTTATGCTAATTTAGGCGCCTATATTCTTTGCATGTGTGGTGCGAATGAGGATATCTTTGCAATTGCACACGTGTCTTCTGCAGGTCTAGAGTTTTAGAACGTCTGGGAAAGATGAGTGCTTTTTTATTTCTAGGCCGGTTCTTCTAAGGCGGGATAATTATAACTCTTCTAAACAATAGCTACAACAAAAAGCGTCAAGTTTTGAATAGCCGTATGCACCGATATGTAATTAAATTCAACATTTTATAAATATTGTGAATTATAAAGCATTCCGAATAGTGTAGACTAGTCAATGGTCAAAGTAGACAATTTAACTCTCTATTGTCTCATTTCAAACAAACTGAACTCACGTCACAGTCAGAGCTTTTTGTGTCGGTTTCACTTCAAAGGGACCCAAACTTAACAGAAACAATTCTTCTTGGATTTAATCTTCGAGCATGTTATATTTATCTTCTATACGAGCTCATATCAGAACCTGTGTTGTAATTGCACCGCCCAATGCAAATGTGCACGCTGTTATCACTCATTGCTTCCCAGCCTAATGAATTACTCTGGCAATACGATTAACGCCGTCTACCTATATTCAGTTATTACGCATAGTTTTGTAACATTATACAGAAACGGCTCTGCGATCATTAAAATGATTCACAAGGAACCTTGAAGTTCTATAAAGTTCTTATTCTTAGAGAGTGCTTAACCACATCTTAATCTTAACCACATAAGATACACAGATAGTAACATATTGATGGCAAATACTGAAAGAAAAATGCAATTATTTATAGACAATGTAGTAAAGTAAACAAGAAGAAAGTGCCGACCATTAGACAGAATAGATGGTTGTTAGCAATGGTGGTTGGACAATCCAAGACGTTAACTACACATTTTAGACGTGACTATAAAATTTAACTGTCTACGACTTGTTATAACACACGATAAAAGATATGACAGAGAAAACCGTAGGCTTTCGAATAACGAAAGATTACTAGTAACAAAATATGAAGACACAGGTAAATTTTGTTGGAGACAAAGATAAGTTTGCATAACTGTTATGTGATATCAATATTCCTACATGACAGAGAATGCTAGATAATTCCCTCAGAAATGAAGAGGAAATGTGAGGCCACTGATGAATACGGAGAGTACTCTGGACAGAACATGGGAGCACCGAGGAAGTTTTAATAAAAAATGGGAAGGGAAAGGACACTTATAGTTAGGATCGGAAAGAAGCAGTTAAAATATATGGTACTCACAGTTGCAGATAAAGAAATAAGGCTTGCAAAAGAACATGGACAGAAGAAACTAACAAGGAAACCACTTAACGATCTTGTGTAAATAAAACGCGTCACAGAGGTTGGAAGAGATAGTAATGGAATAAACATTGTTTAGAGCGACAAACTATAAGAAAATTGATGCAGCCGTGATAGCACACAAATCTGATACTTAATAGCAGAGAGATTTTTTAGGACACATAATGAGGAAAGAATGGTTGGAAAATTTGACATTCACGGGAGATAACCCTACCTAACCTTTGTAAAAGGGTAGCAGAAGAGGGTTTTTAAAATTTACTAAGATTGCAAAGGACAAGAAATTGTGGAGAGCTATGACCACCAACGTCTTGAAAGGGCATAGCACATAGTAGAAGTAGACCATCGGAAGTATTTGACAAAGTTGTTGAATAGTGCGGTATAAAGAGATAGTTATACTCTGAGATAGTTATATGCTGATTGTTTCATTTTATGACCTGTAACTAATCATCCAAAATTTCAGAGAATGTGTTCTACAACGGCAAGTTATCTTTAGGAACCTATCCCGCTTATTTTTTTCAATCTGAGAATGAAAATAAATCACTTTATAATCTAGAAAGAATTAAAATATTTTGATGATTTAATAGAAATCGTTTATATATTAAGATATTTGCAGACTGAAATTCTGTTCTCATCATATTTCTGATCAGAAGTGTTATGCTTTTTGACTCTAGTATCATCAGTTCTGTTAGGATTTCTTTGTCAAAATCCCAACTGATTCACTGCAGTCCAATAGAAGACCTAACAAATTTATTACTAGAAGATTTGCCGCATTTTTAACTTCATGACAATTTCTTTTGTTCGAATGAATTATGTTCATCACAGAAAACTTGTCATACCCCGTAGAACTTACAAGAATGGTATTAATTATATTTTTTAGCTGTTATATATCGGCTATTGATGTAGAAGATTATTTTTGGCTAACCCAAAAATCAGTTGGCTAAGTGATCCTGTAGGATGTCACCACTGCCTTATGGGATTATTCAATGTGGAAATTTATGTTATACACACAATGAGGACATCAGTACTCAGTAGTAATGATCAATCAGACGAGCCTCAATAAAAAAAAATACCCCAAATTGAATGTTCCATTACTAATCGATAATGTTGTTTTATATATATGTAACTCCATATACACACACACACACACATATATATATATATATATATATATTTATATATATATATATATATATATATATATATATATATATATATATATATATATATAAGCACGGAATAGTAATGGCGAGCCGCTCGGATAGAAGAATCGGAGAACCGAGTTCGATTTCCAGTCGATTTCATTCCCTTGCTAATATTCTTGGGTATCCATCTCTTCTATCCAGGCTAACAGACATGGGGAAATAGCAGGGCAGGTCCTATAGCCTTGGTGTGAAAGTTCTAGTAGAAGGTCAATTCTGAATTAAAAACTCGCGGAGGGTTGTTTGGGGAATTTGTGGCATACTGTGCCCTAGATCTCTGTACTTGTCTCTTCGAAAATGTGTGATTGGTTCTGCACAAGGTTTCACCACGATAATCAAATGATATGT